TTTTTATATACATAAATATATAAAAATATGTTTTATATATTTTTAAATATTAAAAATACATTTTGAATATGTTTATTCAAAAATAAATGAATGAATAAATTAAACTAAAAAGACTGAAGGGAGGATTGATTCAACCTAAGGGTTAAAAACATGACTGTGGAGTCAGCTGGACCACTGTTTGAGTCCTACCTCTTTCATTTCCTAGCTAGATGGCTTGGAACATGTTTGATAATCTTCCCACAACTCAGTTTTATCATATTTACAATAGGCAAAACTACCCACCTTATATTGCTGTTGTAATTAAGTGAATGCAAATTTGGCACATCTCCAGGAATGTATCTAAGTCTTTTTAAAATTGATTATTGTACTATGCCTACTATAATGGAGTGTGTTTTCTATGACATTTTGTGATTCAAGTATAGATATTGTTACAATCATTGTTACAATCAATGATTCAGGCTCTCTTAAAGGATTGGGCACATTCAGGTGACAGCATCCCTGCCACTCACTTGATTTTGACGAACTTCCGACATGGCACGGTGTTCCTCACACATGTCTCAGTCAGCGGGTCTATGTCTTCCACGATGACGAACGGGGCCTCCTCAAGGGTGACGATGCTGAGATGGTTGTCATCCGGCTCACAGTCGGAGAAGGACTTGTACCTGGGCCACACGGCGTGCCTCAGGCTCAGCGTCTGGTTCTCCCACTTGCCCACCTGTAGCACAAACACAAAGACACAGCTGTGCTTTCTTCTGCCGCTGATTTCTGGAGAGGCAAATCCTTTCCTTGCCGGAGCCATCCATCCATCTCAAGGGCCTTTCTGCCACATACCTCAACATATGAATCTACTTCTGTGCAAAGACAAATGGGTATAAAGAGAAAACAGAATGTGGGGTAGTTCTCCATCCCAGCCCCTCTCATCCGCAGAGGAATCAAATATGCATCTCTGGAGGCAGTGCCCAGGCACTGATACCTTTAGAGCTCCCCAGGTGGTTCTAACGTTCTGCCAGAGTTCAGAAACACGGATGGCATGGAAACGTCATAGACTTTCAGAATCAGAGAGGTCTGGGTTTGAATCTCCAACTGTACCCCTTACTAGCTGCACAACTCTATGCAAGCCCTTAATCCTAAAATCTTCTGTTTTCTCATCTGTATAAAGAACACAATTCCCCCTACTTCATAAGGAGGCCATGGGAATTCAATAAGACAGTGCAGGAAAAGCAAAAGCACAGTGCTTGGCACATCATAGGGACTCCATATTGTTTTTAAGTATAAAGAAGAGAAAGTAAAAAGAAGAAAAAAAGGTGCTAAGATGAAGAAAAAGAGAAACGGGGAGAAGAAGATGAAGCTGGAGAATGCAAAGAAGAGGACTGGGGAGTAAGACAACACGAGAGACAGATGGAGCAGATGGGGAAATGAGAAGCATAGTTTTGACCCCAGATACGGTTCTATTTAAGTTGCAAATGAAGGTGAACTTTCATTAATCCTGCACAGAGTGGAGACTGTTACTGCTTAGCATGCATCAAGACCTGTCAAAATAGAATCGATTGTATTCCCTCAGAGCAGCAGTTGGTATCTTAGTGAAATCAAATTGAAGGCTGTATATTTTGAACCTTAATTTTAGTTGACAGCTTATTGGCACTATTCACATACATGCTAGGAGGAAGCTGCCCCCGCGCCGCTACCTCTCCTTTCTCCTCCTGCTCCCACATGCAATTGCTTGACACCACAGGTCAGCTCTTTATTTGTAATACCAACCTCGAGGAAAACACCTCGTCTGAAAAGCTAAGGGCCAAATCCAGGCTTGTCTGTGTTGACATGACCCACTCACCTCTCCTCCTGTAACGTTAAGTGTCACCAGAAATGAATCTCAGGCCCTTAAAGAGAATTCAAACATGCCGGACACCAGGAGAGGTGACAGGGTGGGAGGAGAGAAGAAAATCAGTGCTCTCTAAGATTACCTCATCAGATGGGCTGGAAAATTTTTGCTGGCTGTAAAGAAACATTTCCTGTGGCTAATTACAAAATTGTCCAGCATTGCTGATACATTTCTTTTTAAGATAGGGAGGCGAGTAGAGCAATTTGGTCAAACACACACACACACATGTTCATTTATTCATGCTGTGATATGTAACAGGCTGGGGAGAGTGTTGAGTCCATCAAATTCTTCATTCATTTGACATAAATTTATTGAAGACCTACTATGTCCCAGTGCCAGCCTGGGAATAATGACGGCTAAAACAGAATGACTCTTGCCTTGTTGTAATTGTCAGTCAGCTGTACGAGATAGAACAAACCAAAAATACTAAAACATGCAAATAGGTAAAGAAATATACAAGGTTTTCCTTTTGGAACATGTTATACCAATCCCTTTTCTTTCCATTTGTCTTGGATGACTCAAACACAATCTTCAAGAGAGGTTGGGTAGTTCAGCGGGTAAGAGAATGGCTTTTGAAGTCAAACAGAACTAGGTGTTAATCCTGGCTTCACCCACTATCTGAGCAGCTTTGGGAAAGTCATTCAACCTCTCTGAGCTTTACTTTCTCCATTTTTGCAGTGAAGAGAGCAACAGGGTATTACCGTAAGGACTTCAGTGAGGTTTGAATGAGCCAAAAAGTACCAAAAGTATAGAGTGCAGGACCTGGCATGGCATGTAACAAACATGGTGGCTGCTATTATTTTACTATTGCTGTTGTTAGCATTTAAGACATAGCTGAACTATCACCTTATCCGTAAAATCATTCCTGCCTTTCTTATGTGGGAAACTTTCCACCTATCTCCACCATAGCATTTTGATATTATCATTATAATGACATAACTTTTGAGCACTTCCGTATAGTCAGAAAATATGCTAATATCACCACCATAGCATTTTGATGTTATAATTTTAATGACATAACTTTTGAGCACTTCTGTATAGTCAGGAAATGTACCAATATCACCACTTAGTTTAATTTCCACAGATTCTTCATGGTAAGCATTATTATTCCAACTTCTTAGTTCAGGGAACTGAAACACAGAGAGGTTATGTGACTTGCCCAAACTCACACAGCAAATAAGTGGTGGAACCAGAGTTATATCATGGGGCTTTCTGAACCTGAAGGTGCTTTCTCACTATGTACACAGTGCTTTTGTGAATTGAGCTGCAGGAACCATGTTAGAGCTCCAAGACTCTTTCTTCCTTGCAGACATGTTTCTTAAAGTCCCAAGATAACGTAAATTAGGCAAAGACTAGCAGAATCTTTGATGATGTCATTGACCATGTAACAACCCCCACACCATGGGAGTCAGGCAAAAGTTTCAGTCCGATGATGACTCATGGAAAGAAAGTTGCAAAGGTTTATGAGTGCCCAGAGAGCAGAAACTTCCTAAATCTTCTCCAAGTTCTACTCCCCCTTCCTGACACATCCAAGTAGAGTATCCATGGGTCAGCCAAAAAGGATGAAGGTGAGTGGTGGGTGGAAAGAACTTGATCAAGAGCTGAATCTGCTGTGTCAATATTGCCCTAGATCCTGAGAGCTTTTTTCTTCTCTGATCTGATGGGCCCTTTGGCACCCCATTGCAAACACCAAAAATCTCAACTTCTAAATTATAGATACCAGATAAAGGAGAGCAGACATTCTTCACTTTCCCTTCCTATATTCCTATTTACAAGGGACTGTAGCAGAGTCCAATGTTTGTAGACAGGTTTAGCAGAGTCATTCATTCCATAAATATGTGTTGAGTGGTTACTAGGTTCCAAGCACTATGCTAGACACTGAGAATACCGTATAAGTGATAAAATGTTTGCTTGCATGAAATTTTTGTGCTAATTGGGAAGACACATGAGTCAAATAATTATACAAAAACATATGTTCATACAAACTGTGGGAAAGAAATGAAACATGGGTCTAAGAGAGCATATAGGGGAAAAGATATCAGAGACATCTTCCCTGAAGAGGTTACACTTTTAAGCTGAAATTGAAAATTCAGGATAAGTTGGACTGTAGCAGTTGTGGGAAGGAATTGTTGAGGAGCAGAGAAAGAAAGAATACTCCAGATAGGTGGAGACCAGAAGATGCAAAGCCTTGCAGGCTCTATTAAGAAGTTGGGATTTACCTTAAGGGTTTGCTATAGACTGAATGTTTGTATCCCTCCAAAATTCATAGGTTGAAATCCTAGCCCCTAATGTGCTGGTGTTAGGAGGAGGTGCCTTTTGGAGATAATTAGGTCATGAAGGTGGAACCTGCATGAACGGGATTAGGGCTTTTATGAGAGGCCCCAGAGAGACCCATTGCCTTTTCCACCATGTGAGTATGCAACAAAAAGATTGCTGTCTATGAACCAGGAAGCAGCTCTCACCAGACACTAAATCTTCTGGCACCTTGATTTGGACTTCCCAGTCTACAGAAGCATGAGAAACAAGTTCCTGTCGTTTATAAGCCACCCAGTCTATGGTATTCTGTTATAGCAACCCAAATGGACTAACAATCAATCTTGTCAAATGGTCAGAATGGAAAAAGATTATAGAAGTCACTATAGATATATGTCCATATACAACTTCCCTGAAGATAGAATCATCTTTGCCTATTCAATCTGATTTTTTTTATTATGGAAATATTTGAATGTATATAAGAGTAGAATCATATACTGAACCTCCATATTCCCAACATCCAGCTTCAATAATTAGTACTCAGGACCAGTCTTGTTTCATTTATACTCCCACTCACTCCTCTTATATTACAGAAAAATCCCCACATAATTTATTCACAAATCCTTAATTTGATTTAAATATCTAAACTTCATTTTCTTAAGAATATTATACCTCAATAATCTAAAGTAATCTATGTGTTTATATATATGTTTTACCTATGAGTCTATGACTTCCAGCAGGAATTTTATATGCATGATGATTGGTTTCTATGTTCACAGCATCTAACTCAGGGCATGGCACACGGAGGGATGTAATGGGTAGTTTTTGGTGGAGTGAATAAACACACAGCCTGTATTTTTTAAATGTGCATGAGTCAGAAAACGTTAGTAGAATGATTAATGTGTCCATATGTGCCTCAGCTTTGGAATCTTGTACCCTAGGCAAAATATGGAAGCATCAAGGACCTGTATTCTCTCTCTTGTTGTTACTGCAACTTCAGCCCCAAAGACTCAGAGCCATTGAGGGTGGCTGTCTGAATAGCCTCTGGATATTAAATTTCCCCCAGAGAAAGCAAATACCATCATGCTGATGCCATTTAAAAAGGGACTCCAGCCATTCTGATGTATTCAGGGGGAAAGTAAGATCCAATGGGTTAAATCCAGAAGACCTCAGTTTCTGTTGTCATGTTGCCTGTGCTTGCCTCAATTTTCACAGTGGCATGGAGTATGTATGCTCTCAGTGTCTTTCTTTAGAGGTTGTATCCAAAATGGATGAACCCTGTGCACTCTGAAGATGGTAGCCCATAGTCTCTCTGCTCCCACCTTGGACCTGATGGTGACTCTTCTGCTATTCTCTAAACTGGACCTTTTTCCTGTTCCCAATCACCTCCATAAAAATGAACACCACACTCAGCTTAGTCTGTAACTTTAGATCAGCAGTCCTGACCCATATAAGCTATTGTCAAGAGTGAGTCAATACCAGGGTTACACCACATTTCCTCCAGCAGTGCTTCCAGGAATGAAGTTTCAATCCATTTCTTCCAGCAGTGATTTTAGGAATGAGGCTTCAATGCATCAGAACAA